TATTATTAATAACACAATAAAAATATAAATTATATTCTCACCCATTGTCAACTTTAATGAAAATATTTTTTTGTAAGTTATCAACGGACGAAGTAGCGCATATAATGTGATCCAAATTAATAGATTTAAGTACTTCAAGTTGATCTGGAAATTCAAATATAAAATTAAATTAAAACATTTATCTAGCGTATAAAAATACAAATGTGTGATGGGCACTGAAATATATAATAAATTAATTACATTTAGAAAATTGACCAGATTGCCCTTTGTTATCGTAGAAAAATCGATCACCAACTCGTGACCTATAGAAAAAATCACCAATAATACATCGCGAGGTATTTCCAACTAAAGCATCATTCTCTGGCGTCTCCAACAAAGCYCCTACAATAAAGTCTATGTCATCCACAGAGGAGTAAAGTGTCTCCAAATGATATATGTCCTGAAACAAAAACAAACCATTAAGTGGTTGAACATTAATACAGCAAATAATTAGCAATTCACTGTACGAAATGGTAATGTTTAGGCGCTTAGCTATTAGAACGCATATAAGCATTATAATAGGTTTCTATTACTTTAACTACAATCACCGGACTCGTCAACTATTACTTAGTCATCATTTGATTAATCACCTGATCTCGTATTAAGAAAAATAAATATTTTATTATTTTATCACTCACATCTATTGGTATAATATCAATCAAATCACTAAATGACTTAGCAACAGGCAATCCACATAATTCTCTCATTTTATTGTAGGGGGGGAGACCGGTATCACGTCCTCTTTGGATATCGTACGATAGGAGATCCACGCCAACCGAATTGTTTGAATGAAACATTAAGTTAGAAATCTATTCGAAAATACCGAAGCTATATTATCAGGTAAACAAGTTAATGTTGAAATATTAATTATTATTTATTTAATAAGAACACATTACCAAAGGATTGTATGATGGTTGACTCATACGTCCTTCCGTACTTAATAAACCTCGAAGTAAGTGGTCATAATTTGAGCCTTGTTGTAAGAGATACGGGCAGTTCATCCAGTCTGTAACATTGACTATTTGGACAGTTGTGGAATTTGAATCAATAAATCTACAAAAAATAAAAATAAAAATTTCATGTGTAAATATTATAAATATAAATATTTTTTATGAAAATATATGTATTTTAGTTTTACCTATGTTGAGCTGGTACAATATTGTGGAGTACACGAAATGCACCAGTTGAAAACTCTTGGGAAGTTGACGCGTCAACAGTAGGATCATATTTATTGTTACTGTCAAGTATTTTGTCCTTCGTATAATTTTTGCCTAAATAAGGTCGTATCATGGTATAATGCATAAAATGATAAAGTTTTAAATGCTGGCAGGTAAAATATTTTTCATTTGTATTACATACTTTATTACTTTAGAGTTGTATAAGCATACCTAAAATTATTGGTAAAAACTGTGTGTATGTAATATGTTGGATAATTGCACCAACAAATCTGCGAGATTCTTGRTATAACTTTTCATCAGACCACAAAGCATTTCCAGTTTTTAGTTTAAACGCTACGAAATTGTGGAATCTTAAAAACATATTGTGAAATAGTGCTATTCCAAGGTTCAAGTTTGCACGTAAGTCTCCTGTAACAGTTAACAACTTAAACATTAAAGTACATGTAAGATGGTCGGAGCTTATAGTGTCAATGTGTAGATAAATTTTACCAGATTTGTAAAAATATTTGTTARTATCTGAAGTTTCAAAAGACGAATGTGGACAGAACTCCTGGCTATTCTCAAGAACAGAAATTAACGTCCCTCCAGTAAATGATCTCAGTGTTGATACAACGTAATCATTAGAACCATAAATTTGAGATCCATCAATAAAATGTGAAGCATCGTTTATCTATAAATACAAGTGGACTGTTATTAATTTTTTGGATTAAAATTAAATGGTGGCTTAAAAAAAAAAATCAAAGTAAATTATGTTATCAATAATGCATTAAAAATATGTATAGTACCTATATAAACAGATTAGGAACAATAAATATGGATGAACTATACTTCTAAACTTTATGCAATATTCAAACTACTAATTTATTGTATGTTTCAACTTGTTAATTATATAAAATTGGTTKTACAAAACCTAAACAATTTAAATTTGAACAGTACCAACAGCTAGGCCTGTTTTATTGGCCAACAACAAGATTTTCAAGTTAATTTTCAATGAATAAAAATTAAAACATGTATTTAGATCACAAAATATGTAAGAATTTAGGAATGTATTATTGAAAAAACTAAAAAGTGTAAAATAATACTATCTAACATAGAAAATTAAAAAAAATTTGATTGGTTTGTGAAAAATTAAATTTTTAAAAGTCAAATAAGAAATACTGAAACTTGGTGATATAACATTAGGTAGCTACTATTTTATATGGTATTATAAATTTGAGTGCAATGATATATTATAGATCACCTCATAT